GTGTTCACATTGCCTTTGCAGAACCATACACTGTCTCTCACCACATTTTTTATGTAAGACTCAAACCCAGCAGGGACTGAGGAATCCCAAAGTTACAGAACAAAATGTCAAAGGACGGATCACTACAGATGAAAACAAAAGAAGAAAGAAAACTGCACAACTGACAAGTGATTAAGATGTAGCTGATCATAATACATCTTGTAAAAACAGTTCCCACCCACTCAGAAGTGGCTCTGAGAAGGCATCACTGCTTTTAACTCTTGCAGAGACAGCAACTCCTGAGATAGAAAGCAGATTTTAATTCAACACAGAAGGAAGATCTTAATTCATCACATGTATTGCCAGCACCACCGTACAGTGACTGCCAGGTGCACTGAACAAGCACATAACACCACCAGAGCCAAGACAACATGCTAATTTCACAGAGCTAACACTGCTTTGGGCCCACACTACCATTCACATTACCTTTGTCCCACACAGCCCCAAGCTGCTAGGAGTGCACGAAGCCCTCCTGGACCTCAGTTATGTCCTTAAAGGTTGCAGTCTTACCTGTACATATTAAAAAGGAGCTCAATGGAGCTCAGTGCAAAGCAGCAGCCAGCAAAATGCTGAAGAGTATCCAGCCTTTCCAACTGCCTGATGGAAATAACAGCAAAGAAATACAGCAGCACTAGCCACAGCTCCTGGAGCTAGGCTTAAATCCGTGACTTCAAACAATTTGAATTTCTGCATTTAAAAGCATTAAGAAAAGCAGGTGCAAACATTTGCCACAAGTTGCACGCTGCTTTTTCAGCAGGACTCTGCTCAGACAGACATAGATGAAATTGTTCAGATTCCTGCTTCAGCCCACCAGACATTACCTCAGGTGCAGCACCATGAACAACTGCATGGTTCTATCAGAGAAAATAAAACTCAACTTCAGGCATCTCCTAAGAATTCATAGAGCCAGTACCTAAGAAAACCCACATTACTCATACTTCAATCAACAGAAATGCAGAATTGGGGGTTCAAGTGCAACAGATACTTCCACCAGTGTCTGTTAGTATCTTCCAAGCACAGAAAACCCCTGAGTAAGAAAAGCGTTGCAGATATTAGTTACTGGATATGTGAAGCAAAGGCATTACGTGTCGCATGATTAGTGATTAATGCTTACATTGCTAACTGCCTATGATTTTTTCAGATCCATTAGTAACTCAAAAGGCTGGGTTGTAATCCTCCTGCAAAGGCATTACTAATACCTGTTTTTGTTAGAATGGCTTATCATTGCCAACTTACCTTTACTGCAATGGAGAGGAAATGTACAAATTTTACCTGTGAAGCCTGTATCAACAAAAAGAGACAGATTCTAGGAACACAGTACCGTATTACATAAGCTCTCTTTCTCCTTTGGACTAACTTTTCTTTACTATCATCCATGCATGAAGTGACAAAAAGTACAATATTAACAGAGCAATTAATACTTGCGTGATGAGGGTAATAACGGCTTTTGTACCAAGAAAGATCACTAGAGTACAGAGGAATAGTCATACTCTTGGCTCTCAGAGCTTCTGCATACATCCATTTTTCATGCAAAGTTCTTACAGTTCTGGAGGTCAGTTCACAGTCAAACTAACCATGACGCTCCCACATGCTACGATCATCTTAGGAATGCAAGATTGGCTCAGTTGCACTGTTGGCTCCTCGTCTGTAAGGAGACTTCATCTCAGACCTCAGTTTGCTGTGTGGTAGGATCACATCAAACAGAAACCCTTTTCAGCAACCCACAAACTGTTTGATGAAAATGAACTAGCTTAGGAAAATCAAGAGCCGCATTCCACACGTTTCTACAAGCCCATGACATGCTAAGAGTGCTTCTCAATGCTTCAAAGAATCTCAAGAATCTCTCTTCTTGACACATGCAACAATCTCGCCAATTACTAAAGGCTGCAACCTAGCCACTGTCATTACAAACCTCGCTCTGTGCCGTGCCTTTTCTACCTGCGTTGAATCATCAACTCTCTTGTCTTACAAAATATTGGAATCCATCCTTACAAACGGGATGTTTGGCCATTTCCATGTTCTAGCTTCTCAAGGACAGCTTTTTTCCCCCAGCCTTGAAAAATATTAACCTCCGCCTTTAACACACACATACTTACTACCAGCCCAGGTTCAATCACATCATTTTCCTTGACTACCACAGCACATACTGCATCCACCCAAGTATTCCAGCGTTTCTTCAAAGTCTTTAAGGCATGAGTTTAATGATTATGAAGACATTTCTAAATATCCACTGAAAAAATTGATGAAGAATTTTGTTAGATTCATTACTGCAGCAAAACCAGTTGTCATTAAGTTGAATAGGGCAGAATCTGAATACTCTCTTAGGAAAATTTAAATAAACCATTTTCAACAGTGACCCAAAACCAAAGGCCTGCATTTCTGTTGTCCAAAATATTTGTAACAGCAATATGAAGCTGTTTTTCTTGAGGAAGAATATACATGAATCCCTAATAGCAATTAGTGACATATGAGAAAGACTTTAACCAAAAAGTCCTTGCTGAGAGGAAATAATGACAATGCCATACAAAGCAGAGTATTTAAGTGTTAGAAACAAAGACTGCTATTACGAAAAGAATGAATTCCATTTAGAATCTTCTATAATCAAGAACACACTCTGAACAAATCTTGATCCTTGTTCACAATCTCAAGATACACCAGTATTTCCTGGCTGGAAATGTACCTTCCACAGATGCATCGTATAACTGCTTATCGCCTGATTTGTGTTATTTTGCATGTCAGAGTTGTTGTTTCACCAAGCTCTGTGTTTTTTGTTTTAAAACCACGTGTATCAGATAGTAGGGAAAGGGTAACACAGTCTAGAATATCAGAGCAAGCCACTAAGTTACTGCACAAGACAAGACTTGGTATGAAATATTTCAGAATCATGGGCTGCAGTGGTTCAATAGAGTATTTCTGAATTACATGACATGGCTCATTTACTGATTTAACAAAAACAATCATAACCACCACAACAGAAAGTTTTTCATCTTTCGTGGGGTTGTTAGGTTAGGGTCACCACATCCATTTCAACACTCATTTGCATAGTGTAGTTTTTCCACCTTCTTGTCAGAACTCAATGAACCTTCTTACTTGAATTAATTTGAAACAAACAAACAAAAAAATAGTTTACTGACAAAGAACTTGCAAACTGAGACGAATGAACTGAAATTGTTACTGTAAATTCTTCCACCTGATGTCGGTGGTTACACTCACATCCAGCTCCTTGAAATCACAGGAGCTGCCTGGCTTGGAACAAGTTCCTTCACTCTTTCCCAATAGCTCACTTACATCATATCAAACATGCCTAGCAGGTCAGACACATCCCCACCCTTCCCTGAGTACAATGCAAACCTCATATTATGGTTATCTCCTGTCCAAAGTTTTGCCATGGATTTTTTTCTTCGCAGGACAGGATGAATTTGCACTTCAGCAGTATTTGCACTAAAGAGACAACCTCATAAGAGCACTCAACCACCAGCCCTGCATACAAAGCTTAGGTTTTATTATGGAAGCTGTCTGACCTATAATTGGCAGCAAAGACTCACAAATCTAAACAGCTCACTCTAGGAGCACCATATAGACAAAAGTCACACTGGAACTTAAGAAGTTTTCCTTGTATCCAAGAAACCAGTTCTCTTTCTCTCAAACACACAAAAACAATGTAAAGAACAGATCCCCAAACATCATTATTAGTCTATCATTATAGAACACATCCCAAACATCATTTGCTAAACATAAACTTAAGAATGATAATCAATTCTATAAAGGCTTTTTGCTCCTTCCAGTATCTCACACCCCTACGTAATTGACTTGCATAAATAAGTGAAATGAAAATACTAGGTGTCCTACTCGGCTAGCATAATTGTCTCAGCAGCTGATATGGTGCTCTGTTTTGAATTTAGTATAAAAATAATCAACACACCAAAGTTTTAATTGTTACTGAGTAGTTCTCACAAAAGCCAACTTTTCAGCTTCTCACACAGCCCTGCTTGCAAGGGGCTGCGAGACAAAGAGCCTTGAGCGGACAGAACGAGGACAGATGACCTCGATTGCTCAAAGAGTATTACATACTATCCATGCAGTATCCCGAGGAATAATAAAACTGCAGGAGTTAGAGTGAAGGGAGGAAGCAACTGGCTAGGCGGTGAGCAAATGCACCACAAATTTCATGTTTTTATATACATACATATTCCATTTTTCCCCCTTCTCACTTTCCAACCCCACCACGGGAGGGGAATAACAGCTGCATGGTGCTTAGCTGCCTGCTAGGTTAAACTGCAACACCGAGACAGTAGCATACAAGCATCGTTAGGTAGCTGTACTCTGGAAAAACCTGTTAAAAACTCCCTGAAGACAAAGCATAGAATCTGAGTACCCCCAACATGCCAATGTTAACTGCTTGCCACCAAACTAAAACACCAGCAAGTGTTTCAGAAATACATACGTTTCTTAAATTCAGTAAATTATTAAGCACCTGAAAGTCAGTGCATGTACTCTGAGATATAAGCACTGGAGATTCACATTTTAAACCCAAAATGCTCACTTGCGCAGAGAATTTTTTTTCTTAAAGCTAGTTTTGTTGCTGCAAAAGGAAAACGCTCTGCAGAAAAGCAAGACTTCTGTAAGTTGCTTAATACTTACAACCAATATTTCTTCTGCTTTTTCTGACAAAAAGCCACACTAGAAACTCTACTATATAGATTTTTTATTGTATGTCAAAGTTCATTAAAGATACGGTTTTGCTTGTATACAAGTTACTCAAAAATTTTGTCTAGGAAGAAATTTATTAGCAATTATATTTCAAAGCAGAGGTTTGTTCAACCAGGCCACAAAAACAATATAGTGTACAAGCAATAACTAGAAGGAGCTGCAGGTTCAATAAATTTCCAAATGTTACAGATCCCAAGATCTTAGAAGAAAAAAAAAAAAAAGCAGTCACAATATAAAACAGCAGCTCCATGTAGCTTTTTCAAGTTTTAAGTTTATTCAGAAAGTAAAATTTATTTCAGTTTGCTTCGTTCTTTGAAGCTTCATCAAAGTTTTCAACAAGATCTAGAAAAAGAAAGACAACGAAATGTGAATTGGACCTACTTCTGTTTTGCCAAATACATTTTTCTGAAGTTCTACTTCATATCAAGTGCTTAAGACATTAAAAAAAAGCCTTACAAAACACAGACTGAATAACATGTAAGAGCTTTCAGAATTCACCTTCCTCGTTTAAAGAAATGTTTTAGGTGGTTCATTATAAACCAGAATTCTAACATAACACAGCTTTCCTATAACCATACCTAAGCAAAGTGATACTGAAAATGCAGTTTCTTCCCAGCCCTTTTACTGAGGATTAAACAGTGATCCTAGCCATAGCATTTCTGTCCTGTCTAAGAGTAACAGCTATTTCAAACCAATTATTCAATTAATCTACTATGGCATCTGAAAACAATGAAATTCTGCCTGGAGCAACTGCACAACGGCCAATGATCAGTCTAGGACAAGGACTCTCATTCTCCTTGGCCAAATCTTATGCTACATATGCCATCTCTAAGCAAAATTCAATTCCTCTTTCTCAGGTTTCATGTTTGTTCTTACCTGGAACTTCATCATCATCATCTTCACCAGTAGCAAGAGGTGCTTTTCCATCCACAGCTGCAAAAGCAAGTATTTCAAAAGCATTATTTCAGCTCACACAGGTACTCTGACAAATTTGTGGGGTTTTTTTGTAAGCATTATCTAAGAGTCCAAGCTAAGCTGCAGCGCTCTGCAAAACTTTCCTGCCAAATAAAAAAATCTAAAACTAGTCAAGCAGTTCCCATTGCCCATATATTATATAAAGTTCACTAGTCAATATCTTGTATCTAGATATCCCATGCTTTGCATGATAGCAGTGTTCTGCCAGTTTCCCTTGAAAGTATCTTTGTTTACAGAGTAATCTGTGGCTCTCAAAGTTCATCTTTTTTTAAAACACCATTAACTCACAAGGAAAAAAAATGTATCTGAATCCTTACGATCCTAGACATTCCAGAAAAAAAAAAATACTGCAAACCTGTGGAACACTGAGCAGACAATTAGAGACATTAAGAGATACTGCTGCTCTCTGAAGAATTCAGAGAATCAGATGCACAATTTTACACCTAATAGGCCAAGGCAACAATGTGTTCTGGCCCACATCTCTATCAATACAGACTTAACCTCTATTATATTTGCCAGAGCTACTGTGATTTAACCATGCTCATCTCCACAGATCAGCAAGCATAGGTGAAACTGCAGTAGTACTGGAACAGGCTACCCAGATGTTGCAGAGTCTCCTTCTCTGGAGATATTCAAAATCTGTCCAGATACTTTGCTGTGCAACAAACTGCAGGGAACCTTCTTTAGCAGGGAGCTGAACTAGGTGAACTCCAGAGTTCTCTTCCAACCCCCACATTCTGTGATAATGCTAAGAATAGGTACCTAAGGTCCCTAGGTGCCTGTGCCACTGCTTTTACTGCTATTCTTGGCTGTACTACCTAGGTTAAGCTGCACAAAACTTTTTAATACTTCCATTTATTCTAATTAATCCTTCTGATTTCAAGAAAAGCATTAAGGAAAGGACATTTACATCAGTCGCCTGAAATCGCTTTACACTGATATCCAGAGAAGCAGACGAATACTTGAAATTTGGTCAGAAATGGCTTGTGACAAGGACAGTGCTAATTCTTTTGTTTCTAACAGCAGAAAGCTGACACAGCTTGAGAGCATCTCAAGTGCTGAATATGACATTTTAATATTATTTTCTCATAAACTGTCTTCATATTCACTCAACTCCGAGACCAGACTAAATTTACTTCAACACCTGCAAATGCAGTCATTGCAGACAGTTCGCTCTTTGATGTCAGGTTTCCAAACCTGCAGACAATACCAAAACCTAGTTTTGTGCAACTGCTTTGGCATTCACCCAAAGTAAAAACAACCGTTTAACAAGTCATGCAAAGCAAGCACTTTAAAAACAGGCTTCTCTAGTATTAAAACTGTGCAGTTTAGATTATTCAGAATAAATCCATCTCGTTATGAGACTCAAGCTTCAAGCTTTCCCTTTTCTAAGCCCCACCACTAACAGACAGAAGATAAAAATGATGTTAGGAAGAAGGAAATTGAGCTCCACAGGGAAATAAGCAGTTTACTTCCTCCCAAAAACTAGTCATAGCAGGATTTTTTATCTGGGAAATTGACCTAACGAATGCAAAGACAACCCCTTTTTTCCTTGCGGCAAAGCACAGAAAGAAGAAACACAACAAGTTCACTACTGCCTGAAACTGCACACATTATAAGCTTTCTTCATTTCCTCCCTTTAGCATGTTCTCTAATTTGTAAGCAGTGGAATTAACATTCTTCTTTGAGAAGCAGGAAGACTATACGAGCAGAAAATGAGGAACATTCTCAGAGTCAGCAAGCCTGTCCTCCCCTAACAATTTCCAAATATTCAAATCTAAAATTTATGTAATTTAATGTTCATACCAGTTCTGCATTCTACTACATACACAGGAATTAGAACATCTTTTCTTCCAAGTAGTGTGATTTTTGCAAGCCCATGCAAAAAGTATCCTCACCACATCCACGAGGGTACAAAGCAGAAGCAAGATATCTGTACCCGAGCCTCTCCACCCCACACCACCATATTTATGTTTCCATTCAATTCATCAAAATAAACACCTGAAGTTTATCCGTCTAAATCCTAACTCTTACCAATGATCTATCTGGCTTTAAAGAACTATGTATGTAAAAATATGGTAGCCACGCATGGAAGTAAACCATCATAAAATCAATTCTGGCTACAACACCCTAGACCTAGACCAGCTATGACTCTGCTTTATTTTGGTCGTGCTCTTCACTGGAATTGACCTATAAATAAGACCTCAGAGCTCTGTTTCTTTTTGCCATAATACGCCTGCAGACAGAGTGCACTGAACTTCACTGCAGCTATACAAATAAGTCCATGTTAGCTGCCAGCATCAAATGCATTAAAGTTTCAACTTACGTTGCTTGGGTAAGGCTTCTGCCAATCTCCTCAGGCTGGTCAGACTGTCAGCTCCAAGCTGATTTAAGATACTAGGAAGCATTTCTGTCAGCTGCTTTGTTTCAGCATGGCCAGTGATAGTGAAAGTGTTAGCAGCCAGAGATGCCTGAACTTTAGGATTATTGAAGTGAATAACTGTTCCTTGGTTGGTAAACATATTTACCTGCAAGATAATAAATAATTCAAGTAGTTTAGCACTTTTTTTTTGTTTTGTTTAGCAGGAAAACAGCTGTAGTTCCTAAAACTCAAGACTTACTGATTTACAGACAAGTTCAAAGTATAATTTAGCAGAATTCTAACACTGATATATTTTACATATAGAAGAGTACTTCCTCCTTTGAAACAGTTACCTCTTCAATGCCAGAAATATTGTTGACTCCAAGTTTCTTTAAAGAAAACTGAAGTTTCTTATCATCTGCTGTGGCTGTTCTATGGACAACCTTCTTCTTCCTACGGGCAGTACCCTTTGCAAAAAAAAAAAAAAAAAAAAAAAAAAAAAAAAAAGAAGTTACAAATCAATATTTAAATAGTTTCTCACAAACTCTAATCCTAATTCATATAACTACTCTGGTCACGTATAAATCAAAGTAATACACAAAGTTCAATTCTTGAGTTACAGCACATGCTTTTCCAACTGCGTTACTGCCAGCTTTGAATGCTTGTGAGAAATGTGAGATTTTAGGAAGCAGTTCACCAGAGACACTGTACTTCACAACTCTGACTGGAGATTTTCCACTATCCCACTTAAAGAAAAACTGCATACTTACCTTTGTTGTCTTTGGTATAACACCAAAGGCTGAGTACAGCCTTCAGTAATTTTTAAAGCTTATGAATTCTTCTTTAGTTCGCTATTCTGAAGTTGTAGACAAATTCTGATAATGAAGTCAGAAACCATAGTTATCTGTATCATTAATAAATGAGAGCACCCCAAAACTGTTTTATTCCAAAGCAACACCCTCATCTGATAGGCCAACCCATGCATTAAAGAACACATTTTGTCAAAATATTTGCAGATACATTTAAAAATTTTCACATATATTTTCACATGGTATTTCAGACTACCTCAGTTCAGAAAGCAAAAGCAAGGTTTAGATCCCTAGAAACACAGAGCTGTAATAAGGGACAATTACTTCCATGGAGAAGTCTATATGAAGATACCTATACCTACGAGAAAGGACGCATCATTCTATACTTCCTTGCACCATAAGACCTGACACAGAATGAACAAGGGTGTGTGAAATTGCATTCCCTTTTCATACTAATCCAAGAAGAAAATGTGTTGCAGCTTCGCTGCATAAATCAATTCCTGCATTTCTTTTTGAACGAAATGGCTGAAGTTAGAAACCTGGCTGATGCTAATACTTCTAGCATAATCCAATAACAAATAATAAAAGACAACAACAGATAAAAATTTATGTGAAAATACAGCTTTGAAGAACACAGCTCAAGAGTTTGGTCATTTGTCTAGAAAGCCTGATCTTCATTCTCTGCTCCCATCAATCTGGAACAGAAAGCAACGTGAGAAATGGTTTCATTTTAGTACCTTAACTAACCTGTAACTGAGATACAGTTACAGGATAAGATAAGGCCTGTATTACATTTCTCTGGACAAAAGACATTTCAGTCAATCTTAAAATATTATGCCTATAATGAAAAGCTATGCAGGAACACGCTGCCCGCACACTTTTATGTGCATTAAGTACAGACATCAAACTTCAGACAATCCGATCATTTAAATTAAAAGCTGTTGCTTTCATCTCCACAGATTTAAGCTTCTACAGGTCTTCAGTAAGCAAACTCTGCCATGATCATGCCAAGACACGTTGTCCACGTACCTCTACCACCTGTATATTAGACAAGAACGGGTACAGTAACCCTCAATTCACTACATTCAAATACACATTCACCTACCAGGCCTCTAAAACGGTTTGGAGTAAGTGGCATTCAGCCACACTGATACCACACACAACAGCTATAAGTTTCATATAAGGGATCACAGTACATTTCAGTGATTTTGCAAGTCTACAGCTGTGCAGCGTAGTTAAAGCCTGCCAGCAGAGGCAATGCGCAGCCCTTTCTAACAAGAAGTTACTTTTCCCTTTGCCTCCTCCACACCCACAGTAATCAGCCACCTCCGCTCACATTGCAATTTTGTTGTGATGAGTTCCAGTAACCAACTCCAGTCGTAAACCAAAATAAAAACCCGGCTCACACCTTCAAATTATTTCACAGACCCGTCTGAACAACGAACGACAACATCACCAGCACATCCTAAGCTCCACACGACGTTTCTGCGGGACGAGCAGACCACAGACAGTGAAGAGCTGCAAGCTGCAAGCACACTCTTCAGCCACCGACGCCGAACGCCTCCGCGGCCAGCACACACACACCCCAGCGACGGACGCGCCGTCAATAACACAGCAACTCTCCAGTAACCCACGCGAAGCACACGCAGAGCCACTCAGACCGCAGATCCCCATTTCATCCCGACTTCAGACTGCCCGATCTTCGGCAGACGCCAAACAAAGCCCCGTGGAATCCTCCGTTGTGAGCCGCGCCGAGCAAACCCCCTCCCCGCAGCAGCAGCAGCAGGGCTGTGCCAGCCCCGGCCGTGCCCTGCCCTGCCCCCCCAGCGCCAGCCCGGCGCGGCACCCACCTTGCCGCCGATGCGCACTTGCGCTTGGAGCTTGGCGAGCTTCTCCTGGTTCATGATGGTCTCTTTCATCTACGGGAGCAACGAGAGGACGGTGAAGCGGGGCTCACCGCAGGCTCCGCCGCCGTGTCGGAGAGAGGGGTCAACCCGCCCGCCCCGTCCTCCCTGCCTTCGGCCAGCCAGCCCGCTACCCGCAGCAGGAGGGCAGCCCCCTGCGCAGCTCCCGACCGCCCCCCTTTACCTTCCCGGAGCGGGCGTAGCGCTGTCGGAGCGGCGGGATCGGAGCGGGCGGGGCGCGGGTCCGGGCACAGCACGCGGCCGGGAGCGAGATGGCGGCCGGAAGGGAGGCACGCCGCGCCGAGCTGCGCATGCGCCGCTGCCGCATCCATCGGCCCCGGCAGGGGGCGCCCTAACTCGTGGCGGGGCCGGGAGGGTGAGCGGCGGGGCGGGCTCCGTCCCCTCCGCCCACAGAGCGGGGCCGCGGCCGGGGGTCTGCGGCCACAGCAAGGAGACTGAGAGAATTGCTGGACGGGCGCTGCACGAACAACTTATTGACCTGCTGTGATGTAACTGCACCGATGGACGAGGGAAGAGCACTGATATTGTCTGTCTGGACTTCAGTAAGGCTTTTGGTACAATCCTCCATAATATCCTTCTCTCCACATTGCAAAGGTGTGGATTTGATGGGTGGTTGTTCGATGGACAAGGAAGTGGTTGCAAGACTGTGCCCAGAGATTGGTGGTCAATGGCACAACGGCCAGATGGAGGTCAGTGACAAGTGGTGTCCCTCAGGGGTCTGTACTGGGTGTGATGCACCCAAACATCTTCATCAGTGACATTGACAGAGGGATCGAGTGCACCCTTAGCTAGCTTGCTGAGGACACCGAGCTGTGGGGTGCACATGGCGCGCCTGAGAGACAGGACACTGTCCTGGCAGACCCAGACAGGCTTAGCAGAGGGCCTTGGAAGACCTCTTGAAGTTTAACAAAGCCAAATGCAAGGTCTTGCTCCTGGGTCCTGGCAACCTCAACTACAAACTGAGGGATGTAAGAACGGAGCACAGCTCTGACAAAAAGGACTTCCAGCTACTGGTGGATGGAAACTGGAGATGGGCCAGCAATGTGCTGTCACAGCCAGAAAGTCAACTGTGTCCTGGGCTACATCAAAAGAAGCATGGCCAGCAGGGCAAGGAAGGTGATCCTGCACCTCTGCTCTGCGCTGGTGAGGCCTCACCTGGAGTACTGCATACAGATGTGGAGTCCTCAGTGCAGGAGAGACATGGGCTTGTTGGAGTGTGTCCAGAAGGGCCGCAAAAGTGATCCAAGAGATGGAACACCTCTCCTACAAAGATGGGCTAAGAGAGCTGGGGCTGTTCAGCATCCACAAGAGAAGGCTCCAAGGTGAACCTTAAGGAGCCTTTCAGTACCTAAAGGAGGACTATAAGAAGGAAGGGGACAGAATCTTCAGCAGGACCTGTTGTAGTAGGAAAAGAGGAAGTGATCTCAAACTAGAAGAGGGGAGATTAAGGCTGAGTATAATGAAAAAGTTTTTTACAGTAAGGGTAATGAAGCACTGAAGAATATTGCCCAGAGAGGTGATAGATGTCCTGTGCCTGTAGCATTCTAGGTCATGGCTCTGAGCATCCTGATCTATCTGTAGGTGTTCCTGTTCAGTGCAGGGAAGTTGAACTTGATGACCTTTAAAGATCTCTTCCAACTGAAACATTTCTATGATTCTTTGAAAATGTTTAAATGTCATACTTTCAGACCTGTTTATGTATGTTTATCTCCTATGACCATGTCTTTATTTCAGCCTGCCACACTTCTCTCTGGGCTTGCCGTGGTCCCTTTGGGTTGGGGCCCACCTGGCATTCATCTGGCTCTGAGGACAATCCCCATGTTTCCCACAATCTGTACAGTGTAACCCAGTACTGAGTTCAGCATCTCACTTTGTGTTTTAATGTCTCCTATTTGAGTTGTGCTCTGGAATATCCTCAGTAAACTATTCCCTTTCTTCTTCTTTCTATCAGACAGTATTAAGAATATCCTTCTATGTTCCTTAATGCTAAGACTTCCATGTTAGTAATTCCCATTGTGAGTCCATATCCAGGCTTAAAATGTGTGTGCAGACTTAATTTGCTCTGATGATCTCTCCTTGCTGTTTCAGAGCTGGGTATTGATTTGGAAATAAGTTGCCAAGCACAGAACACTTTTTTTGTTGTCAAAGAGTAAAATTCTTGCTTCTGTAACTATAACAGGTATATCCAACACACATCCCACTTGCTGAATGAGGCCCAGCCCGGCCCATCCTGCAGCTCTTCCCTGTCCTGCACCATCATGGTGGCAGCTCTGCCCTGCTAAGTGGCCCAGCCCTCACCATTCAACAGCAACCAAACTTCAGCGAGCAGTTGGAACAATCTGGGCTGAAAATGGGCCATGGGGAGGACAAAGTGCAGTGGTAACTCAGGGTAAGCAAATAATCTTATGCGTTATGATACACTGGGTAAACACAGTTCTGCTAACAGAGAAAAATATGCAGTCACGCCTTCCATTTTGATAAAGGGATTTGATAATATCTTTCATGATTGCACCAAGCCCCTCTCCCCCCATTCCCTTTCTTTTTAAATGTATTTACAACTCCTTTTTTAGATGACATAAATATATTACCTGAGAATTGTCAAGTGCAACGTATAGAGTTGCAATCAGCAAAAAAAATTGATCATGTCTCTTTATCAGACTTCTGTAAGCATTATCTTAGCAAAGAGAGATATCCCTTGCTTCACAGTGATGCCTTATTCATGTCATCGCTTTTTGGTAATACGTACATTTGTGAACAACTGTTTTCATGGATGGAGTCCAGAAAGTAAAATTTCATCAAAAATCTCAGACAAATAGCTTGAGAACTCACAGAGAAGTGCAACTACTTCCATCAAGCCAGCCTGATGAATTAGTTTCACAAAAACATGATCAAATATCCCTTCAGTCTTATGGTTTTGCTGCCCTCCTTTTTATATTTTAATCAAATATATACATATATATGTATGTATGCATACATGGATATGTATATAAAGTTTCCTTACTTATATGCATTAACTATATCATATATATTTTATATGCCAACTGGGACAGTTCCTCTTCTCTTACTGTGGCCCAGGCTAGCCGGAGGTTTGGATGCCAGTGCCCTAAGGAGAACAAATGAAGAACCCTCTTCCACTCCATCTAGTGGTGGTAAGGGGTGACAAAGCTGTGCTGTTCCGAAGGCGCTGCTGGCACCAGTACCTCCTATAAGGCTTCTATCGCTTCTGAAAATTAGAGGAAAGTGAGACAGCTGTGGAGAAGGAATACAGAAATTCGTTGCAGGATATCTATGACATTGGAACAGCAAAACTTCTCTTTTCTAAGAGAAGAATGAGAAAAAGACCATATTACCAGATCTGAACAAGCAAACCCTCGAGCTGATTCAGAAGGAAAGGGAAAAACTGAACTCAGGAGGAGTGGGAATTGGGGAGAAATTTCAGGAGGACTGAGTTCATTCTGAAAGGAAAGGAAAGGTTATGAATTGATTGCAAGATGACATTGACAGTTACCTGCAGCAAAAAAGGAATGTCGCCCAGATAGAAAAAAAATAGGGAAAGAAAAGTAACTGCAGGAAGATTGAAAGTAAAAGCAACAAATATTTCACCTTCAGATTTATCACAGCCAGCCATCAGTATGTAAGAGGGATTTCAGAATTACCAGGGCAACTGATGATTACAAACATGCAGAATGTATTAATGGGCTGACTTACTGAAGTGAAAATGGATCACAGAAAGATTGTTCCAAGATAGAAGCTGCAGAAAACGCAGCCCCAGCTGTCAGCCTAGGATTAACTGGAATGGAGGTATGATCTCACGGTCCCCTATGAGAGATTTGGAAGACAAATTATGCCTAAAACCACATCACTGAGTCATATCAGGAATCAACTGAAGCAGTTCAAGAACTGAATTTGAGAAATTCTGTTAGATTTGGTTACATTTCCTGGAGCAAACAGAGACCTTCAGAAAATAAACTTTACATCAGAGAATAAGTATTTTAGAAGGCTAAAATAGCACTGGCTTGTTTTCTCCATTCCTATTTGTGTAATTGCCTAATGGGAAACATAAACTTAAGCCTGGTTTTGCTTGTACTCGAACAACTTCTGTAGAGGGCAAAACAGATACAAAACCAATAGTACTGAAACAAAGCATGAGCTCGGGGAGCACATTATGAGTTCTCAAAAAGGGATGAAACTTAGAATCTCAAAATCATCAAAGAGTATCAATTACTAAATAAATGTTCACTAGCTGCACAGAAGCATAGGAATGGAAAAAGTGAGTTAAATGGTTGGACCTGAAAATCATCTCCTGATTTGTGTGCAAGATGAAAGGCAAAAGAATGGCAAAAGCTCCTGTCACAGTGCCAGAGGGAAACTTGTCCAGGAAGATGTGGCCAGTGCTTTGTAAATTATAACAGGGTATACTGAGAAGAGGTGTTAATTTAGTATCATGTTCTGGAAATTAATCTCACACTGTAGCCATAAGTAATAAGGCTGAAATGAAGTAATATTTGTTCTGATTGCCAGTGAACACAAAGAGCACATATTAAGTGTATTTTCCGACAGTAAAGGGAATCCATCTGACATTCCGTGTCTCTTTAGAATGTGTTTGTTCAAAAGAATGCTCTGCTCAGCACTCAGGAGGGCCAAAGTACGTGGCATGTCAGCAGTACTACGAGAGAGATGGATCAAAAATAAACCATCTCCAAAAGCCCTGATATCATTCATGAATTAGGAGCTCACAAGTTTTGTACAGATACTAAAGGTATGAACACTGAACGGGGAGCCCAGGAAATCTGAACTTAAGGGCAGCACTGTTTCCATCTCAGGTACTGCGATGCTGTATCAAGTGCTGTTGATTTGTATGGAGAAATCCGTAACAAACTTCATTGTCTAGGAAGAGCATTTACTGGATGCTTACAGTTGGTGTTAAACAGACTGGCAAAGGCTTGCCTAGAAAAGGTTTCATCTTGCTGGAGCATAGAGAACAGCCAGAAGTCACTATATTCCTCACTGGCTGTATGTGGAATAAACAGAACCTTATGTTTATGCACAGGTGACAGAGAATTGAGCAGATGGATCCTGCACACATCCTGTATGCAGAATTTGAGGGAATTCTTTCATATAAGGCACAGAAGAGCTTTGACCCTCGGTAAGACAACAGGTTACACATCAGAGAAGTTGGTGTAACGTGACCCCAACACAGCACTGTCTCTTCCAAGGATGGCACATTTAGCCTAGGGTGAATCAGGACTAAATCTGCCCTGCTTTCAAATGTGCAGCTCTCAACATGCTGCCGTGGACGTGCTCAGCATGCTAATGCCCTGACAGCTGTGTGGGTGTGATTCATTCCGTGTTTTGCCTTTGGCTGTCCGGCCTCTGGGGTCAGCTCGGTGCTCAGCAGGAGGTAAGTGATGGGCGCAGGTGGCCAGAGGCGGGGAGGGAACAAGGACTGTCCTACCTCCACAGCAGCAAGCTGTTAATTCTGCTTCAGTCCTGGCAGGAGCCCAACACCCCCTTAATTTTAGATGGAAAATCGATCTCCTCCATCTTTTACTGCAGTGTAGTTAATCCCCAAGGACTTGTAAGTGGAAGGAAAGTATACCTGCCGGTACTCACCAGTTTCATGAATGGGTTTGTACTACTTCATGGCTTACTCGAATCACTGCAGAATTAAATGGAAAATACCTGAAATATCCGATCCATTAATTATGGAATCTCTCTCTTACTTTGCCTGTCTGCAACAAATAACCCAGGGGTGATGTTAGAAAGAATGTAAGGGAGAATGTTAGAGAACTTTCAGTATCAAGCAGAGATGTGAAATCAAATGTAATCTAAGCAAACTAGGAACTAGTTACTGTGATAAGTACTCTGCTGTATCAACTAGATCTACTGGTGCTCTATTCTGAATGTCAGATGTCCTTCTAGTAACAGGAATAGATTCTTGCTTAATTTTTTTATTATTATTATTTTTAAGAGTACGTTCGAATGAAAATTGTAAAAGCAGATTTAGACATCTTGTGCTCTGCTAAGTGATTGTTTAGACGTGGTTCTTTTTGCAATTACAGACACTTGTGAACAGCTACCAAATGGGCTGACATAGAAAAGGTGTAGAGAGATGGATGGCCAAGGTTATCAGCAGTGCTGTTATTTCTGCACTAATTCAGTGCTTCTGAGACAGAACACTTCAGAATGAAAATGAGACCACCAAACAAGATGTGATAAAAAGAAGTCATGAATGGCAGGGAGAGTTTGGCTGAAAATAATTAATTGTTCACTTCCTCTTCTGGTAAGAAAATGAGGGAGTGTTGCCTTAAATGAGCAGGTAACTGGCTTAAAGCAAACTGATGGAGACGCTTCATATCATGTGTGGCTAAAGCTGGGAAACATTTCACCACAGAACATGCTCAGTGGTACAGATGTACATGATGTTATAAACTGTCTGAACAAATTCGCAGTGGAAAAAAACCATCACAGCCTATTAAATTCAGGGGCTATCTTTGGCTTAAAAGAAACAATAATGCCAAGATTTCTGGCTGCTACAAAATATTTCTACGCATTTTTATTGTCCTTTATTCTTCCCTAAACATTTGATGTTGGCTACTGTTGAAGGCTTATTTGGTGTTAGATGGGTCATCTAACTTGAAACAAATTCTGTTTGTATTCTTGGGAGATTTTAATCAAATTTTACAGTAATTAAAGGCCTTTATGAGCCTTACAAGAAATGGATTTCACAAGTCACAGCAGAAGCACTTGCCGTGCAGGAATTATAGATCAAAGAAAAAGCAAGAAGAAGGAAAGAAGAGAAAAAAAAAAAAAAAAAAGTGGAACGTGATAGGGGTGGATGGTAGGGCCATCTCCAAGGGTGAGAAACTCCTTTCCAACAGTCAGTATGGTAGGAAGCCCCACATTTTCCTTCAGCCTTCTTCAGCTTTTCACGTCTGATGCATTGCCTTTATGCATGGCCAGACAGACCTGGCTGTAATTGCAGAACCTTCAGATCTCCTAATGGTGGCATTACTCTCACCCAGAAATACACAGCTCTAAACTAGCATTGGAAGAGTGGGATGAATAATGCAGGAAAAAAAAAAAAAAGAAAAGAAAAGAAAAGTGGGGCCGTGCTGGTAGCTTCTGTGACACTGGGAAATGAAGACCACAGCTATATCTGCAATGGCCCCTGTCAGGCAGCACCATCCTGTTCCACATCACTGCTGGAGGATGTTTTCTTTCCATACGACAAGCAACACAGCATACACTCCAATTTTTGGCGCAGGGGGCTATATTAGTGCAAATTGCATGTTTTCCAGGAATTTTTTTATTTTTATAGTGGAAACTGGGGTTCTGCAGGAAGGACTTAAATTTGGGTGAGAAGTATAAGGATGCGCCAAAATAGCAACACATTTGGGGCTGGAGTTGCAAGGTGCAGCAGTGCCAGGATGGGTTCTTCAGCTCCAGCAGGGGTAGCTGGAGGCCAGAGTCAGGCTCGCTATGTGCAGGCTGTGCTGGCTCACCTGCAGGTAGCGAAACACTCAGCAAACACCTGGGGATTGACATTGTCCATGTGATGCTTGGGAGAGCTCTGCCATCCTGCTGCACGATTGGGAATTGCTGCAAAAAACTCAGACTGCCCCAGCCAGCACACAGCATGACTGCACCCCAGACCATGGTCTGTGGAGCTCTGTGAAGCTCCATCCTTGCGGCTTCTGCAGGAGCTGTGGGTGCAGGCCCCCTGCCCACGTAAAGGGCAGGAGTCACCCAGACTTCCTTTGCGAATTGCCAGAGCAGTTTGATCCAACATATGCACCACACTGATAAAATGTAGGGATGCTCATATCCATAGGAATTCTCTGAATTATGATTAATTTTTATTTATATTAATTGTACACATTAGTTATTTTGCTTACTTTTGATAATTAAAAGAGTTATATATTTTTTTATTTAATAAGAAAGAAACCTGAGCAATGAATACAACCCTGCCTACATGCCTGCATTTCGTATCTTGGCTCTGTGCTACAGTTGTCTCAGTTTTATGCTATCTCTTTCACAACCAGCAGGAAATCACTGACGGCAGCACCCGACGTCCCAGGCTCACCCTTTTGCAGCCCCTCTCCTCTGGCGGTGGAGCTCGGGGCATGCAGGGGTCGGAGCAGCTTCAGCCTTTGTGGGAGCCGATCTCCCGGCAGCTCTCCCGAATTCTCACAGAAGCACAGAATGGCTTGAGATGGAATGGACCTTAAAGATCCTTACCCTTCCAATGTCCTGCCCTGAGCAGAGCTGCCACCCACCAGCTCAGGCTGATCAGGTCCCCATCCAGCCTGGCCTCAGACACCTCCAGGGATGGGGCACCCATTGCTTCTCTGGTCAGCCTGTGCCAGGGTCTCACTACCCACTCTGTGAAAATTTTTCTGCCTGACATCTAACCTAAATCTCCCCTCCTTTAGTTTAGTCCTATCACTATCTATCCGTGATAATAATAGTAATAATAATAAGAAGAAGAAGTCTATTTACCTCTTGCTTATAAGCTGCATTACGGGATGTCCGGTCCCCCCGATCTCCTGCTGTTCTTTATGGTCTCCCCTGTCCCCGGGCGTTATGTCCTGCCCCAGCTAAGTACCGCCGCTCTGGAGCCGCCCGGACCCTGCTCTGGCTGCCGATAGGTGGCATCGCCCGCCCGCGGAGCGCACTGCCCGCCTCGGGGCTTAGCGGAGCGGGAGCCGCCGGGCTGCCCCGCGGTACGGGGACGGACGAGCCCACGGACAAGCGATGTGTGGAGAACGGTTTCTGCCTTCTTGCTCCGACGTGCCACTGCCACTCGCCTTCCCTTCCCTCCGTTCTTTCCGTTTTAAACAGCGTCTGACAGGCTGGGGGGGAAACTAGTGCGAAAGGAGCGGCAGAACGAGGAGAAGCCGTGGCTAACGGGCGCGCGGGGACTGCCAGATCGCAAGCGTCCGCCCGAGGGCTGAGCCTGCTGCCCTCCGGACAGCCGGCTCCTTGGACATCTGCTTGAGACTCGAGAGGGCTGACTGCGTTGTCCCAGCCTGCGAGGGGCCCCCAGCGCCGTGAAAGCCGCGATCCGGGAAAAGCCGGAGCGGCCCTGGCACTGCGGGGTCGGGGTGCAGGAGAGATTCGGTGCGGACGGAGATGTTCGTGTCACTCTCCTGGTGGCACATTGTGGGCAGGGTCGGGCAGCCTGCTCCGCGTCGGTGCCATAGGCGGTTTTCCTTCCTTCCTTCCTTCCTTCCTTCCTTCCTC